TGTATTCATTCGTCCAATTATTATTTTCTGAGGACAATCCTGGATTCATTTTAAGAATGAAATCTTGGCACACACATTCCTAAGTAGGATTTGTTCTAATTAATGCATGGGGGGGGTGTTAAATAGTATACTAAGAAGAATTTTAAGATTTGTTAAAGCACAATACTTTCAACCCATACTTGATCACAGGCAACCAGCCACAGTAGTCATTTAAGTATCATAATGATCAATGGATCCTGGAAGCATGGAAAATTAAGTCATTTACTGAAAAACATAAATAGAAATATAAAGAAAATGTAATTGATACCTAAATTTTCTAGATAGGAGCAGGGTGGTGGCCTAAAGGTGGAGCTCTCACCTCACAATCAGGAGGCTGTGAGTTCGATCCTAGGTAGCAGGTATTTCTCTCCTTGGGTGCATTGAGTAACAGTCTGCTGCGAACTCTGCATAGGCATCAGGGAGGGCATCTGGCCAGTAAATGCTCGAGCTCCATTCTGTCACCCTGACTCCATCCTGATGCAAGGAATTATATGATTGGTAAAAAAAAAATTCTAGATATAATAGCTGCCTGGAAGTACGAATTAGAGCATATTTTACAGATGAGAATAAACTGCAATATTTTCCAGCAGGTTTCATGTGTATTATAATAGGGGGTTGATCAATAATACCAACATTAACCACTGAATATGTAGAAACATTATTTTTATAATATGCATGACTTAAAATTGTGTATGTTTCTTTAAATATAGGTCCCAGAAATGCTTCACAATGATGCTAGTGATCATGGATGTAGCCGCTGGGGATATTTCCTGTTACAAAATGCAGGAATTCTATTAGGTTTTGGTATCATGTTACTTATCTCCGTATTTGAACATAAAATTGTGTTCAGCATTAATTTATAGGATTGTATTCATACTCAGAGCTGCACTTGAGGTGGAAGAATTTTTGCCAGCTTCTTGTTCCTCCTGAAAATTTGCTATGGTGGCTGGGTGATCTTCGAGGGAGGATGAGAGATGTAAAGGTACGGGATGATGGAAGAAAATTGTCAAATCACCCCCACCCCCTTCTTCATCCAGGGGTGAACCACTGAAGGATTACAGTTGCTTCCGTGAACTGAAGTTTCTTTGTTTACTGAAGTAGTACCCTGCTTCAGATGCATGTTGTGTTTACTTTTCATACTATTGATATTGTCTGTATAGCTTAATTGTAGGCACTTTCCCTCCCATTAGTCATAGAGATTTTAATAATATAATAAATTGCATAAATTGCAGGGGATTACCAGTGGCATAGAGAGAAAATTGGCTTATCACCAAACATAGTGAAAAATAAAACTATAAATAGTTTGTAACTTGGACTTTCTTTTAAAAAAAGAAAATTAATATTGCAAATCTGATTATAGCATGCTTTGCTAAAGTTTGTCTTATAAATGTTAAAGTGGTACAAACATGTCAACTATTGTTGCTATTAAGATGTAGAAAAAAACTAAAATCATCACTTTTTGGGGGGGGTAGTGATGGTGGAGAAGAGTTATGTTACTTCAAACATGTATTCCAAAGAAGAAATCTATTATTTTATTTGCAATTAAAATTACACGACTAAATATCCAAAGTATGTTTTTATGTTTTTATCGAGTTGCCCCCAATTGCCTATAGCTGTCGTTGCATACTTACCTACACTGCAAAGCGGTTGATGGGTAAGTGGAGGTTTTAGAGTGCTGCAAACGCTTTCTGAATCCCAACTCTGTGTTGTGCAGCAGGATGTGCCCTGCGTGCTGATTGCTTCTGACTTCCTACTGGGAGATGGGAAAAGGCAAGGCACAGTCAAGTGGGAAAAGTTAAAATTTGCTGGCATGCAGAAAGAATGCCTATAGAACCATCTCTGAACAACGGCCGCCAATGTTTCATTCAGTGCAATGCAGTAGAAGTCTATTCCAGACTTCATTAATGGGTTAAGTAGATGAACGTCTGGAATAGGACATATAATGGAGGATTTCTGCTATGAGTTATGTATTTGTATAGTTATAATATTGAGGCTCTGTTTAAGTCTCTGGGTACATATTAATCTTCAGCAGCCATTTGATAGATGATGCATATTTGAATCAGAACAATTTTTTCACACCATATATGCTCAGAATAGAAGTGACGGAACATTCTTTGCTTTCAAAGAATCTGCATTCTTAAAAAACTGCTATTATGAAAAAGTTGAAGAAAAGACAGTTGTTAATTCAGCCTCATGTGGTAACATGTACAATTTGATCAGTCTTTTAAGGAGAAAATGCACACATGCAGACGCAACATGCTACTTTGATACACTGAAAAAAGTACAGATACGTCATATGGCCACTGGAGTTAAAAGAGTTGTAAAAAAACTAGGAGCGATGCTCTGAATGCTTTCTCTACTTTGTTGTCAAAATAACTATATAGGCAGAAAGATAACTAGCCAGAATCACTCTTTGTTTAACATTGCTAACCATTACCTCACACACGTACCATGTTTTAAGCAGATTATTCCTAAATGACCATGATCGTTCAGAACTGAATCCTGAGAATGTCTTACTCCAAACTCGAAAATAACATTTTTTGTAATTATTCATATTTTAATATATATATATATAAAAAGAGGAAAAACACAGTTAAAATTTGTATATAATAATCAGTTTATATGTCTTTCCAATGTAAGTTGTGTAAGTTATATATTTTCTTAATATTAAGAAAATACGAAATTAAACATCATATGCAGACCAAACTTCTAAAATAGTCAACTCATGATGGCAAAGCATGCATTCTTCAGGCCATTTGTATAATTGATAGAGAATTCACATTCCAACTATATAGGTTTTGTTTTTTACTTATTGTTAGAGCACTTTTTGATTTTTAGCTATAAAGAAATGAGATAGATTTCTGTTGTGCTGTATCAGTGTGAATTCTTTTGCATATTGTAGCTAAAAATGCTTTAAAATATGAGATGGATGGTTTTAGAATTGTGGCAGAAAGACTACAGGAACTATTTATAACATTCCAGAAAAGCAATTTATAAGAAAAATGGCAAAAACGGCTCTTACAATTCCATATTTTGTTATTTAATCAGGAAGGGGAAAAGATTGTTAGCTGACCAAATCCCAGGAGAAATGGAGACAGACCTTTCAAAATATCCATTTGAAAGCCACGTTGGTAAACAGCCCATAAACAGCATTGATTGCAGAAGACAAAAAACTGTTGATTTGATTTGCTGCAAATCTCTAGGAAAAATATAATCTCCCATGATGCATGTTTTAACTCCTAGTAATCTCACAGTGCTCCTTTGTCAACTACTATTTACTGGGGTCTTTGGCCAGAGACCAAGGTGCAAGTGTGAACACTATAACATTCTATGGCGACACAGATTGGTTCAGGATCAAAAAGGGAGTTAGACAGGGATATATTTTATCACCATTTTTGTTCAATCTGTATGCTGAAATGTTCATGTGGAAATTAGACCTGGAACTGCCTGAGTTGGGAGTGAAAATTGGAGGAAGAACCATAAATAATTTGAGATACACAAATGATACAACGCTATTGGTTGAAAATAAGGAAGACCTGGAAAAAAAGGATCTGAAAAACCAAGGCTGAAAGTAAAAAATAGAATAGAGTCTTCAGGAAAACAAAGGTAATAACAACAATTGCAGATGGACATGAGATGTTAAAAATCAAGGAGAAAATTGAATTTGAGAATTTATCTTGTATCATAAATTGTTCACGGTGGCAGTTGTATTCCTGAAATAAGTGCAGGATAGCCTTAGGCTGCACTGCAAAGGTTAACATGAATAAAATCTGGAAAAGCATATAAATACAAAAAGCAGGCTAGTTAGAGCAATAGTCTTCCCTGTAATGTATAGGTATAAGAGTTGGACACTAAGAATGGCTGATCGAAGAAGAATTGACACCTTTGAATTGCAGTGCTGGCGTAAATTACTGCATATACCATGGATAGCCAGAACAACCAACAGAGAGATGACAAAATATCACTAGAAGCCAAAATCACAAGGCTACCTCTATTTACTTTGGCCATGTCATGCGGGCAAAATTCACTGGAGAAGTTCAAGAAGGCCAAGCAAAGAACACTGGCTTGATACCATCAAAGCTGATACAAAGATGAACATCCAGCACTGAAAGGAACTGTGCTTGACACAGGCTAGCATGGAGAGCACTTGTCTATAAAGTAGCCAAGTGACAGACACAACTGGTGGCGAATGAATGAATTTCTCCAGTAAGGTGCAAACACATAAATGCAGCAAAACTAATCTTTGTCGATCTATAAAATTAAACTAACATACTATTATTTAAATTCTAATCTTAATCACGATTATCTATGATTATTTTTCAAAACAGCTTCCAGGGCTTGTTCTACTGTTGCTGTTTAAGGAGTCAAACGTAACAATGGGCCAGGCAGGGGTAGGCACCTCGGCTGTTTTATGACTCAGGAATTCTGGGAGTTGAAGTCCACGAGTCATAAAACAGCCAAGGTTGCCTACCCCTGGGCCAGCGCTTCAATCGTGCTATTTGCTCTGCTTTAGAGAACGAGCGAGTTTAGAGAATCGACCGTTTTAGTCTTCCATAAATTGGATGAAATTCGCATGAAAACAACTCTAAAAGGCTTGCAATACTAAAAAAAATAATAATGCTGGGCTTAATTTGCAGGGCTGCCGCCAGCCACCGTCTCACTCGCTCATTAATGCATCTTACTCCGTCTTCTTTTTTCAAAATCTTAAGACATAAGACACGCGAAAGAAAAGCACGCATTTCGGTCTTTTGGAAGCCTTCGACCAGTTTCCTTCTGAACAGACTCTTGATAGCATTGTAGTTATTTACTGGGGCAAGTTTCTTCCTTGACTTCTATGGACATATCCTACTGTGGCCTCAAAGAACATTTAAACTAGCTTCAACAGTTGAGCTCGGAAATTCCTGCCATAAAATGAGCGTTCATCTCTATTGATTATACATCTCTGCGGCGAACATTTGGTTTGCCCCCAGCTTTAGGCCGCTCCCCCGAAGCCCAACTGATTGCAGCGTCGAGGAAGCTGAAGCGCAAGCGCGGCTCTTTCGCCACGCCCACGGCTGGAATCATGGCGTCGGGTGCTTCGGAGGTCCAGGCTTCCATGGCAACACTGCCTGGTGTGACGGAACGGTATTTCACCCGCTGGTACAAACCAGGTAGTTCAACCCCGACCTTCGCCCGTCTCCCTCTTATCGGAAGCGAGCTTGGAAAGTGTCCCCCCTTTTAAAAAACGTTTTTTGCAGCACCAGGATTTCCGCTTCGGTCCCAGTCTTCCTTGACTGCCTTCCACCTTTTCCCCTCGCGTGGGCTGTTTTTGTTGGGGGATGGGGATGAAGCAGAGCAGAGCTGGCTGGGGAATTCTGGGAGCGGAAGTCCCAAGCCTTAAAGTTGCCAAAGTTGAGAAACTCTGGAATAGAGGATCCTGAATGTCGGCAGATGTGATTGCTGGAGCCTTTAAGGATATCCCCCTGCAGCTCTTGTGCTTGTATATTTGCCGACACCGAAGTCTGATATGACTCGGTACGCTTCTTTTACTGTGACAACGTGCCTGATAGGTTCTTAGGAAAGATTTAAGCCTGTGATCTGGCTCTGAAAAGGCCCTCTTATAAATAGCAGTAAGTACTGAAGAATTCAGCACAAGGATGGTAACTTAGACATAGGCATGATGCTCTACCTATTAAAGCTTCATTATTTATCTCTAGCAATGTGTGACTCATTGGTGTACAGGTGTTAAATGGAGTTTTAGGCTTCATTATTACTTTTAATAAAGGTGATATTCACATTCAGCTGGCTTTCATATTTGCTTTTGAAGTGCAGGAAATAACTAAACCATAGGGAGTATATTCTGGATGTCCTTGAATATACTTGCATGTATTAATAAAGATACAAATTTGATTGGGAAAGGGGATGTAACCCATAAATTTGCCACTGATGGAATGTTATCTAGAAAGCTGATTTTTGTTATTCAATTCTCAAATGTAATCAATGTCTTTTATTGATCATTTGCTATCTGACATATAATGAATGTAACAATTGTTTCCTATGCCCTATAAAAAGTCTTGACTCCATTCCCCCTTAAATAAATGATTTTGGCTTTGCCTGGATTATTTGGTGATTTGTATTTTTGGATAAGTGAAAAGGCCACCTTTGCAAACATAAAAGCGTTCTTCTTTCCCAAATTCAGGGAATACATAAAAGTGTTCTTCTTTCCCAAATTCAAGTGCCTGAGTTGCCTAAGGTAACATAGGTAGTCCTTGCTTAATGACTGTTTGCAGTTATGACAGTGATGAAAAAGTAACTTGTGATCTATCCTCACTTTTACGACCTTCACAGTTCTGTAAAACAACAGAAAGCTGAAATAAGCTCACAGACTTGGTTTCACTTGTTGACCACTTTGCTTAATGACTGAATTACTGGTTCCAATTAGTCATTAAACAATTACTATATGTACCTTATTTTATATTAATGTTGGCTTTATCTATTTCTTGCATTTTATTCTGCTCTGCTCTTTATAAGTAACTTTTTCCTCCCCTCTACGTCAGGCATGTCAAACTTGCGACATCACATGATGTCATGTGATGTATTGCAACTTTTTCCCCATTGTTGGCAATGGGGTGGGCACGGTTTTGACGTGACACATCCGGCCTATGGGCTGGCAGTTTGACATGCCGGCTCTACATGCATTTTATTTGCCAGCTGATTAAGCATTTTGGTTATTTAAAGAGATGGGGTCTAGTTTACACAAATCTATGCTAAAATTAAGTTTGTTAGCTATTAAAAGGCTGCAATACTTTTTGGAGCATTTTGTGTACTTTCAGCCAGCCTAAACCCTACACAGAAGTTAAGTAATTGCTAATCTTCTTTCCCCAGATGTAAAAGGTAATCAGTGTGAAGATCATTGCATATTGCAACATTCTAATAGGTAAGACTTCAAGTTACATGCTTATTTACACTAAAATTCTTCTGTGCTCAATTATCATTCAAGATAATGCATGTTTTACAAGCCAGGCATCAAACCTAATTTTAAAGGGACCACTTTCAAAAGGAAGTGATTAAAGTCTGAGCTTTTTACCACTCTAGAATGCTAATCTTCTGTTTTGATCTGGCAGAATTTACTTCCCCCATTTCTGATCCTTATCCTGTGCTGTTACCTGTTCTGGCCTGCCACCAAGTAGTTATGTTGTGATTTATTATGTGCAGACATGCTAAGTAAAGGTACTGGTATTTTGTCCTTGTTTAGTCAATCTTTTTCTGTTTCCTTCTGTATACCAGTGCAATTAAAAATATACCTTTTGCAGTTGATTTCCACACCTAAGCAGCCTTGAATTGAGAACTGCAAGCATAAATCAAATGCCCATCTAAATGATAGCAGTTAATGTAAATATTATAGCAATGTCATCTTCAACAATGCTTTTTTTCTCTTCATTGAAGCAAAACTCTAGCATTCTTAAATTATAATAGAAAGCTTTTCTAGAATGATTACACTCACATGTCTTTTTCCATTCTCTCCCTGTCGTCCGTGCAATTTTATGCTTTGCATTTTTGTCTTATTGTTATAATGGATCTATTCTCACATTTTAAAATTAATTTTTAAATTATAATTTTAAACATTGCAGGTGCTTCTGGGAAGTCTTGTTTTGAAAAATATATAAACATGCTTTCAATAAACAGAACTTTTTTTTTTGTAGAATCTGTGTCATCACTATAGCAGATGCCCATCCTCTTCTTCAAAAAGAAAAACCAATTAAGAGTATTAGTTATCAGATTAGTGCAAACTGCAGCAGACTGAAAAATAAAGTTTCTGGAAAATCTAAACGGGTATGGCTCTTTTACTTTTCATCATGACCACAAATCCCAGTTTCATTTTTAAGTGAGTCTAAATTTTGTTTTTTAAAAAAATCTATTAGGCTAGCTTCAAAGTGAAAGACTTGTAGTATCAAGATTGGTTATACATCCCAAGACTCTAATTTTTCCTTAACTCTACCAGCATGTCCCTTGTTGGCAAAACACTTTATCAGCAGACCAATTTTAAAGTAAGAGGGAACAGTCTCAAAGGAAAAGCAGATCAATAAGAGGATAGCTGTCAAGCCCCCGGGCTTGCCATAAACCGGCGGGAGACGGGGAGGACGCAGCCAGCAGCCATTCATATGGGGGCCATGAGCACTGCCCAACTCCGGACAGTCAGCTGGGAGTCAGGTCGGCATCCGGACGTTGGTGGGGAGCCGGCAGGACCGCTACACACCACCCGGCTCCTGACAACCAGCTGGGAGGCAGCCCAGCGTGCGCACATCAGCTGGGAGTCGGAATCGCCATCTGCCGCCAGACTCCTGAAAACCAGCTGGGAGTTGGCCCGGCCTCCGTGTGTTGGCTCAGTTCCTGGGAAGCAGCTGGGAGTCGGTCCGGCTCCCGGCCATCAGCTGGGAGTGGGCGAGGCCATGTGTCGCGAGTGCCTCCCTCTGAGGAAACGGACGCTGGAGACGTCCCCACCGCCGGCTGGACGTTTGAGCTAAGCCAGCTGGATGCCGGGGGAATTATGCCTCAGCTGCCTCTCCCTCCCGCAGGGCGCAGAGGGGAGGAGACGGAGTGCTGCCTGGTTGCCTGATAGAACAGCCGGAACGGCGGAGGCTGCGTTGGTGCGTCTGGAGGGGGGAAAAGCGGACATTGAACTACGCCTTTTATCATACGGACCAGATGCTGGCTTGCTGTTTGGGGTGGGGTTGGTAGGCGGGGCACGTCTATGTAAAGCGCTGGGAGCAGTTCACTCCCAGTGCTGACTTTTTGGCATGTCCAGCCTTACACTCTTGTTAGTTGATTGCTTGGAAGTAAGTATAAATTTGGGCTGTAGACAGCAAAGAAATACAGAAAGATGCCATGTAATGGTGGTTTGGATTTTTGCTTTCCCGGTATTCATTAGGTGCTGTTCTCCACACTAAACCTACTATAGTTAGCACTCAGTCAAAAGCATATTCACTGACAGCATATTCTCAATGGTATCTTCTCACATAAAGTTATTGAAATTCAGTGGAATTAAGTGGTCACATGTCTAATACTGGTCTTTTAGTTGTTTGAGGTAGCTGGAAGGCCGGATCAGAAATATCAGGACAGATTGTAATATGTATTATCTTCTGAAGCTGGTTTTGCTAAGAAACAATATGATGCCTAAGGCAGTAGTTGATTATGATTCCAGATACATTCAGGAAGAGAATGGTATGTACAGTCTTTCTTGGCAAAGATTAATAAGCATCTGGGATCATGTGAGATTTCAGCAATTTCATTTATAGCACATGAAAATGTAAACTCTCAGTATCCTTCAGTAGTTTTTGCAAGAGCTTCTAAAATTATTTTTGGAGTTTGTAGTCTATAATACAAGAGCTCTTCCTCACCCCGAAATTTAAACGTCCCAGCTCTGTTCTTCTTTCAACAAGCCTTGAAGATCTTGCTGTTTCCCTAAGATTTGGGCCAGGGTGGGATGTGTTAACAGGATTTGTCCATTCCACCAGTATGACCATCTTTTTATTCCCTAATGCTATTCTACTTCTTTGTCTTTAAATTTGTGTTCAATTTAGAATTATTAAGAAGTTGGGTATCTTCATAAATGTGGAAACATTAATAACACATGTTACAAGCCTTGTGCATTTCATAAAAGACTGGGGTTTAAATATGGGATTCCCTCTATGTAAAAGTCAGTACATGGTCAGTTCTGCCAAATTAAAGGAGGAACCATATTGAAAACTATGGTAAACATTCAATTTCAAATGTGAAATTTTATCAGTTGATGTTGCACAATATTGAGCCTCTGATTGTGTATCATTTTCCAAGAATCTTAATTAGTTGTGTGCTTTTCCCTCCAGGGTGCTCAGTTTCTAACAGAGCTTGCACCTCTATGTCGAATTCTCTGCTCAGATGGAGAAGAGTACACCATCTATAGGTAAGGTGGTAAGATTTTATTTATATTGTGTTGTTTATGTTGTTCTAGCACTTAATAAATTGAAAATTCCTTGCAGCTGTATAAGAGGAAAATTAATAGAGGTGAATGAAAATATTCTGGAAAATCCATCTCTTCTACAAGAAAAGGTCAGTATGTCAAACTTATTATTTGTTCTCTTTTCTTTCTGCCTCCACCTTTAATTTTCTCACAAATATTTTTGTTTGTGTTTGTTTTCCTAGCCTTCCACAGAGGGTTACATTGCAGTTGTGTTACCGAAATTTGAAGAAAGCAAAAAAGTAACTCAGGGGCTTCTGACAAGGGAAGAATACAAAGAAGTTCTGTCAAAACGTTTTAATTCCACATCATTATGCAATACAAAGAAAGAAAACTCAGCAGAAGTGTGAAATACATCAGATATCTTCCAGTATGTCCCATACTAAAGTGACTTTATGGATTTTTCATACTTTACTTTTGGATGATTATAATTTTAATTGTTCATTTTTAAACAACAAAGTCAGTGTTTTAAGACTTTCAAAAATCTCATCTGTAACTTTTAGTATTGGATTTAAGGATGTAGTGCCAAAATATTGTATGGGTTCTTTATGTCAATAAAAGCTTTTGTTTACTTAGATTTCATCTGTACATTATACTCACTTTCTACTTTATTAACCAAAACCCAATCTGAAAATATCAATCCACCAATCAACACTTTTTTATTATGTTTTTTTGAGGATTTTAGTGATGAAGCTTACAGCGTAGTGCCATATGATGGCTGAGCAGCAACCCTGAAACTATAAATTAACTAGATGATACACCAGTCCTTAGCTTGTGTTGCCTTAAGGTTTGCGGAGTGAAGGTTCAAAGATTTATGGGACCAAATGTTAAAAATATGTTTAACAATTGTAACATTAATATAAATGCCACAGAAGTGGAAGATGGGACTGGGTTACAGAAGAAAAAAAAGAGGTAAGAAGGTTAGAAGTGCTTACTTATTTTCTTTTTTTGACTCCCAACCTCTACATTGCATGATACAGTCAAATATGATTGAGCATCATATATTAATTAGCTTGTGACTTCAAGTTGTCCTCTTAGAAAAATGCGAAGGACGTGGGAGTAATTTACCTTCGCTATATAATTTTCAAACATACTCAGTTTACAGTACTTAAGACTGGCAAGGAATGTAATGATAACATTACAATCTGAAACATAGGACCATTAAGATATATACAGATCTCAAACAAGCTTGGAAAAGAACTTGCAAAAAAGATAATGCCCTCTTTGAAGTAAGTATTTTTAATAGCTGCAACTTATTTGAACGATCAGTCTTAAGCTTTCCTATATCATACTAAAATGAAAGCTGGAGCTTTATATTTAAGGCTGTAAATATAATCACATTTATTAGGGAATTAGGTCATACTACATGTAATTTTAGAAGAACTATTTCTGAAAAAAATTCTTTAGAGTGCTATAAAGATTGTACATAAAAATATAGATAAAAGGGAGCTTTTATAAAATAGCTGATTTTATTAATGCTGTTACTGATCTTTAGTTTTAATTTTAAATATTGCTGACACTGTTTTTAAATGAAAATAAAATTATCATCATTAAAGCTTTATTGTAACTTACGTATCCAGTAGCAGCAAAGTGGATTTTTTTGACCGCCTCTATCCTAGTTCTGTTCCTCCCCTTCCTTGTCCACCAGGAGACAAATGTAGTTATCTATGGCAACATAATTTCTTGGCAAGTCACTTTAAGAGGCAAAGACTGAGCAGCTATTCAGCTAGTTAAGCTTTTTTCAAAACAGATTTCCCCAGCAGATGATATTGGCGAGGGTCAAGACTCACATTAATAACGGCTATTAAACAAAAGACAGCAGCAGCAACCACCACCAGTAGTTTTCCATGTAGCATATCTGATATTATCCAGATCATTTGCATGAACATTCAAAGCAGCATCTTTGGGGTTTGAAAAATAAGACATTCATAATGTACTTGATTATAAAAATAGCAGTATTAACAGTGAACCAAAAGTTATTCACCATACAAAAATATGCAGCCATTAAATCTGACTGTTCCTTTTGCTAATTGCTAAGTACCATGACATCTATTAGATGTGAAAAGACTACATCAGCTTTTTCTAACCCGGTTTTACCTTTCTCAAAAGAAAGCAATTAGGAGAGATTTAAAGTACAAATCCAACATAGAAATATGGCCATCTTCAATTCATTTGTTCTCCAAAACAGTGAGGCTTGCTACATGTTGTTCCAAGGATTTGATTCCAAAAGTGTTAGTACTCCCAGCCAGGCCACTGTTTTCTCTTGATGCTGCATGCTGGCCATTCCAAGAGCAGTGGGCCATTAGATATCCATTTCCTGCTTTCTGCTGCAAAACAAGCAGCCATGAATAAAAGCAGAAGTAGAACTCTACACAGAAATGGTTTATTTTGCCATATTTGGACATATTATCAACTCACCTTTCTAAGTAATCTGAAGCTAAGTGGCAGAACTTGGGAAAGTATATCCAGAATATACTTTGCTTTCTGAACACAGGTATCCACCTAAAGTCAGTGCATTCAAGCAAAAATAATTTCACAATTCATGTTGAGAAAACATTTTTTAAAATGTAATTACAACTATGAAGCAAGAAATATACTGCCCCCTGTGGAAGGAATTTAATAATATCTGAAATAGCCAATGCTATAGAAATAGTATTTTAGGTAAAGTACAAAAACAGTAATTTAATACTCTTTTTATAAAAAGGCAGAGTCAGTAGTGTTCTGAGTTAATGAATTGCCAGAATGAAAAAAAGGTAGATAACCCAATGCCAAATCACAGAGTAAGCAAAGAAGAGAAGACTTCTTTTGTTTGTACTGAATTGTCACAGAATTATCCAATATAATCTTAACAGTCTGGCCATGAAGATTGCTTTTGAAGGCTTACTGTACTCTTACAAATTCATGTGATGATGTAATCGCATGTGAGAAAGACCTTGGGAGACTGGCAAAGAGATACTGACAAGGGAATGGACAAATAAAGGAAAGCACAGCCTGCAGCTCAACAGTGGGTAGGAGCAAGAGGATCAGAAAAGACACTTCTTAACTTTTTGGGGTATAAAGGAGACAAATGAGAATTGTACTTTCAGACTTGCAAGACTATGTTAATACAGCCTTACAATAAAGTGGAATTAGCTTATCTGGTTGTGATGACTATCTGGTTAACCTGGCAAGGCCAACAGATGCTTTACATCCAAACAGAACTTAGAAATAAGCTCCGTATCTGGGCATGCATACTGTATATCTAGCGGGGAAGAAAGTGTCTGGTGATATAGCCTGAAATCATTGTAGTGGAGGGAGATTTTTGTGTCGATATAGAACAAAACTGAGAAAATGTTTTGCATATGTCCCTCTGAAAGTGGAATGGGTGTTATGCCATTTGCTGATGGTATGTACAGATTTCTCAATCCTGCAGTATTTTGCAAACTGCCATTCCTATTTGCAGACTCAAGAGAATTCCATTATAAGATCTTTTGTATAAACGCCTAAAGTGTATGTGATCATGGCAATGAGTAGTTTTATCCTGTTGCTGCAATGAATTTGGTAACCTACAAGACAAGTGAAGAAAACGTAATGTACCTGACCTATATATAGGCCCAGATGTTGTAGGACCAGAAATAACTTGAACTATGTGCTTGGCATAGAAAATCTGAATTGCAGATAGGGGACATAACATACATGCCTTGGAGGTAGAGGATTACAATAATAGGAATCATCTATGTAAGTATCTCATGAGAATGAAGAAGCCAAATGCCAAATACTAAATAGGTAGATAAATCCATAAGGCAGAACAAGGCGTGATATTGGGGTATTACAGATATGTCAAATTACACATCCTACAAACCTATCAATTATGTGTAGTGGTAGTACTCCTATTTCTTTTCTTAGATGTAAATATTATACTCTGTGTACTTTTCTTATTCTACTGTTTTGTTATGGAATAAAGCATTGGTAACCCATTGCCTGTGAATCCAAAAGTACCTGTAGCCCAAATAGGACACTATGATGAACTAAATTAGTTTCTAATGAGTTGCCTGGTTAGCTGATATTTTAATCTATGCTTCAGGCCTCACAAAACTGCAAACTGGCCTCTCATCCATTCCAACTAACTCAAGGTCTCCTTAATTTAACAATCGAACACTGTCACGTATCATCCATGTATTCTGTTCAAGACTTAACACACAATTAAAATATTTTATTATCTACAAAGTAAGGTAGGAAAACAAAGTTTATAGAGAATGACTTTTTAAAAAATAATAATAAATAGCTTACCTTTAGATGAGTTGCAGTTTTGCCCTGCACAGGGGCTTTAGCTGTGACCTGAAGCTGCTGACATGCAGAGACCATCCTCTCAATCTCCTGCAGAAGCAGTGGCTTGTCATCATCTTCCAGCTGAAACAGATGTTACTTAGGCATGCTAAATGTAATTTATTTTTTAATTTACTTCATTAATAAAATTGATGTGGCTGCCAACTCACACTGACTCAGGGTGGCTTAAAAAAATAAACAAATACAATACCCAATAAACCCCCACCACCCTAGTGACAACACTCAATCAAAAACATGAAACATAAACCATGAAATACATAAAGTATAATAAAAACAATTATGGAAAAAAATGAACAGCACAGATAGCTGTTACTGTATTAAGGTATAGGTTAGTCCTTGACTCACGACCACAACTGAGCCCAGAATTTATGTTGCTAAGAGAGAAATTTGTTAAGTGACTTTTGGCCCATTTTATGACTTTTCTTGCCACATTTGTTAAGTAAATCACTGCAATTGTTAAATTAGTTAACAGTTGTTAAGTGAATCTGGCTTCCCCATTGACTTTGTTTACCAGAAGATCACAAAAGGTGATCACATGACCCCGAGACATTGCCACCATTATAAATCATGTCAAGCATCTGATGTCAACGCTGCTAACATTGGATGTTCCCGCTCTGACAACTGATGAAAATGCAGCCATTTTCTCTTCTCCTTTAGCATTCTTTTTCTTACTTTTAGAAATAGGTGCAGCGGTGGTGGTGGTGGTGCTGATAACATTTTGGCGGGCTGAGTAGAAAGCCCGCGCTTTAAGCTAATTGGGGAATGTGCTTTATGACAGTTTATTGGGGATGGGAATTGCACTTTGTTACTTTGTATCTGGGGGAAGGGAATTTAGTTTTTGGGTTCAACTATGTAGTGCCGATACGTTGTTTCCCGAATAAATTGTTCTTTAAGGAAGAATTTTGCCTCGAAGTTCTTTTGATGGGTTTCATCTATTGGAACCATGACATCTGAATGTAAAATCTTGTGACCATGGGGATGGGGCAACGGTCACAAGTCACTTTTTTCAGTGCCGTTGTAACTTTGAATTGTCGTTAAATGTACTGTTGTAAGTCGAAGACTACCTGTACAAAGTCTACACATTTTAAAGAGTAACTGTCTTTAAGATTCAGAAGCTGTACCATACCTGACTGGAAAATATATGGAGAGCTGAAGTAAGTTTTAATCCTTCTATAGCAAAGGCCTAAGGGGGAAAAGAATAGAGAGTTAAATGCAAAATCACTAAGGAAAAAAACCCTCTATTCTTCAAATGGGTTTATGCCCAATTTGTAAACTGATTAGTCAAATTCAGCTCAGAATAAATGTACTTAACAAAACTCCCTTCTTTTTTCCATTCCCGAGCAAGGAAAATGTGGCTGTTGATGAACTGGACTGATTCTTACAGTATGCATAAATCTATCTGTTGATTTTTATGTTAGGTTAGATAGTTCAGGTTCAAGAAATTCATAGCTCTACAGTATTAAAGGTAGTAATCACTGCACTCATATATGCAAAATATAGTCCCCTGTTATAACCTTAGTTTACAAACAAGAATATAGTCAAGAATAAATCAGTGGTAGAAAACTGAAAAAATACAGCAATATGTCCACCCCTTCCCCACAAAACCAAATACCTGTACAATGTAATCAGGTGGAGGCATGAAATAATTAGAATTTCTTTTATTTCAATTGACTGATAAGAGAGAGAATATTTACAGAAAAAAATAAGCTATTTTTGATTAATCAACTATGGGGCTGAAAGCATACACTCAAAAATATACTTTTTCTGACAGCAAAGTAGGGTTATAAATTATCTTTTCATTGCTTTGTTACCTCTGCCTGGTGGAATAAGTCTTGGGTAATTTTCAGTAGTCCTTCCCCTCTAAAAGGGAAAGAAAAAGAATAAAATTTCACAACAATCTACAAATAATTTACACGCTGTCACCATGATTTTGGAAAACTGAGTAAGTAGAGAAGCAGAAAAGAAATGAAATGATTCTACTGAGATATAACTGGATATACAAAAGATATTTAATTGGCTATACAAAAGAAACTGGCTGAAGTTTTAAAATTTAAAAAGGGAAATATGACTAATAAACAGAAGAATGTCCTGGAAAATGTTTTCTTACTGGATAAGAAAAGATACTTGTTAAATAAGGTAAGATACTTATTAAAGCCTTGAATAAATCTGTGTGATGGGATAAAGAAGAAATCAAATCCTATGACAATATTTGATGGAATTAAAGATTAAGGCTATTAGAAGTAAAAGAAAGGGATATAAAGTTGGTTTATTTGATCAAAATTAGAATAAGGATGATGATGATTTTGCAATTTTCTGGCAATCCTTGGTAGACATTTTGCTGATACCAAGTGTAAAAAGTTGATGTTTTATGGATTTTCTTATACAGAAGTGATGAGATATGGGATGAACAGATAATCCACTTTTTATAACCTTATGTAGAATTTCCAAAATTTTGAAACATCATGACATTTTTGTAATCCCCTCCCCATGAAGTAAAGCCAACACTTCTGAAATATAATGTTATTATATAAATTATCCACTCGTTCTGTGCATGTGTATGCAGGCAAACCATGCATATGCACATATATATGGAGAGGGAGAGGAGAGAATGAAACAGTCCCCATTTTTGGATTTACACTACATGTCTGAGTAGTGTCTAGATTTGGTTATAATTCAGAGAAATTCTACTAAATAATATGGTCTAGATTTGATATGGGGAGGAAAAGGTTCAAGGCCATTTCTACAAACTATTCTCATTTTTAATTTTTAATGCTTCCCCTTCTGCCACTTTTGTTTTTACCTTGTAAATAAATACATGGAATATGCCATACTGGATAGACCTTGTCCATATCTTATAATCTCATTTTCTGGGTCTTCCCATTTCTCCATTTCAGAGTCAACCCGAGTTGTTAGCTTATGAAGTTCTAAACCTAATTTTCCAAGTTTTGTTTGTTCCTGCAAATGAAAAGAGAACGTGTATCATTTTTGTTCATTATGTAACTCAGTCTAATTACTAGAATAAATTGGTGCTAATGAATAAAAGAAATATCTTACCTCATTATCAAGTCTGACTGGCTTTAAGGCTTTTAAATTTGCATTATGCTTCTGTAAAAAATATTTTTAAAGAACAGAATTTTATTTTATTTTATTTTTATAAATCTATCTAAATTAAACATATTTACTAGGAGCTGGAATCAAGAGTATTATACTGGAAAAAACAGAATTATTTCTAAGAAGAGGGTTGGTTCTGAAATAAATATTCTGGTTCTAGATTCCAGACAATTGAGCACATTATTAGAATAAAGCAACTGTTCTGCTTATATGAACTTATTTCTATTTAAAAATTATTTAAACAGAGTTACATTACTTCTATTGTAATTATATGAAATAGCCATTGCCTGTGTTAAAACTTCAAAATATATTAACAGCCTTATACAACATCAATCATATAGCTCAGTGCGGTAGTATCTTCCAAAACCTCAGGAGAGGTTATTTTAAATGTATCCTATTACAAGATACAATACAATTTTTAAAGGTTAGGAACAAAACTGCAATACTCTTTAGGTATGCAGCTACAGTTGTACAGATTTGTGCTGAGAATGTCCTTATGATGGGAAAGCCCTAGGAAACGGTAAATGGACACCGATACTTTCCACATATAATGGATGAATTCCACACAAATGGGTGTGCTGCCATTGTTATGTGTAGGAGAAAACAAGAAGACTAGATTAAAGTATGTTATAAGATCAAGCCACATAATTTAAAATAACCTTATCTGCATTGTTTCTAGCCTTTTTCAAGTTTGCAAACAAGACTGAAAAAAAGATCTAGGTCAGTATTTTCCAACCTTGGAAATGGCTGGCTGGAGAATTCTGGGAGTTGAAATACACACTTTTTAAAGTTCCCAAAGCTGGACAACACTGATCTAGATACTTTGAGTCATTTCAATAGAAAAACACTGTGCTCATGCAGATCCACATTTTCCAAAACATTGTGGAGTTTATACAGCCTTATTTATAACTAATAAAACCTAACTTACTAAAAACAGATTTCAAATCATCCAGGTATTTTCTAACAAGAGAGCTGAAATCTCAGTACAAAAATGTACAAAGCTAAACATTTTTTGAATCAAAAGCTACCATGGAAAGTAATTGGAAAAAGGTTTTTTTTAAAAAAATTTGATGAAACACCTATGTGATATTTTATAATAATTACAATACCCATTAGGCAGTAAGATGGATGTATCTTTAAAGTTTTGAAGGATTATCACATATATGAAAAATAGATCATATATTATTTACCACTGTTGCAGAAAGTTGACATTACAATAAATAATATTTTAATGGAAGAAATTTTGAGGGATGAAATAGACTGGAAATAAAATACTGGATGGCAGCTATAGTGTGAATGTTCAACACTGGTCATCGTGTCTCCTTCCAACTCTGTTTCAATCATAAATACAGAATTCAGACATTTCCCTTAGCACACTTATACAAACTCTTAATATGGAAAAGAAGCTATTGCAGCAACATTCAGAAACTCAGTGATGTGTGCAGAATTCAGCCTTAATATTAGTGTTCTAGAAAGATTAGCCTCTGACAACTTTACATCACCTACAATGCTATGTTGTTACATGATTCGTTTACCTTTTAACTTAGTGTGAAATATAAACCGCCTTACAGTGTTACATATGAACCAGGCCAGGGTAGCTTGTTAAACAAACATGACTATGTGGAGTGAACAATTAACTGATGGAAAGTATAAAGAAATCACCAGCCCCACAAAAATGAACTTACCCCTGGTTTGGGTAGTGACAAGTATGCACGCTTCTCCCCTAAAAACAATACACCAAAATTGATTATGTACTGTACTTCTTAAACCGTCTCTAGAGGTTTTGGAAAAAAACATATAAAAATATACCTACCCTTATTGGTTCCTCTTCATAGATCAGACAGGTTTTGTATTTTACCATGCATTGCATTGTAAAAGGGAAATTCTGCTACTGTCTATATTTGCACTTATGGGAGGCCACTGACAGATTCACCAGAAATCTTTCCGTTTAGTTGATAACATTACTAAAAATTTCCTTTATCTTTCTGAATGCCCAAGAAGAACAGCTAATTTGGTGTGGGGGAAGCCTATGTGCAAGGCCTAGTATAGCCATGATGGGAATCAAATAATCCCTGGAGTAAAGTTCAGATTTTGTAATGATGTAAGGAACCATTTGATTTTCAGTAGCACCTTGATATTTCTTCCACTGAAATCAACACCAATATGTACTTAATGCTTTTTAAAGTTTTTCTTTTATTACATTTATCTTCCTCTAAATGGCTCAAGACAGACTGCATGAATTACCTTTCATTTTGAAATACTGAAGGATGGACTAAAATCAGCTACAGTATTTCATAGTCAAGTGGAGACTTAAGGTAGGTCTCTCTGCTGTCCTAATATTTCAGACTTGTTTTGTAGAAATTAATGGGAATTTAAAGTGCTCAATTTTGATCAGATGATATCAATTATTTTTTTCATAAGAATTATTTTTCCAATTCTCTGTGATGCAATTCAGGTAAATTTAGACAGCACACTAGTCAACATTTCAAAATCACCTTTCAAATTTTCTACAAGGCAATTCAGGTCAATTCAGACACAAGCATAGTTTATTCCAACCAGTGTTCAGGATTAAAACAAATATTTGAACTTTCAGTTTGAGAAGCCACACCAATGTTTATCTGACTCCCATTTCCCATCTTTCATCTCTCTCATTTCTCTCGTATATCATTTTCTAGATTGAAATCCATTTGCAAATATGGTTTTCAATTCAGACATACCAAATCATAATGTATGCAAAACAGTTTTCAAATTGATATCAAAGCATCAATAGATTCTGAGTTGCCTCAAAAAAGTGTGATTCATTCATTCAAAACTTACATCTAACCATAGAGAGATAGGTAAGTTCCATAACTGTTAGTAATTGGTAGAGCTCCTTGCTAACTATCAATACTTAAAGTCATATTATTTGGAGAATTCTTATGGCATCCAAATGTGGTATCTGAGCTTGCTATTTAAATCTGAAATAGTTTGGTCTGATATTTAAATATTCATTAGATAATCATAAGTGATTAGACATACAGAGACATTTAAGATCAGACCATCCACTCACTTGGTTTCTGTTTGTCAAGAAATCCGTTTTTCTCTGGTCATCATAGAAATGCAAAGATTGACACTTCTACTCACCAACTTGCAGATGGGATGGGGGCTTGGCAACCAACTTGCATTTAAAATTGCAATGTCTTGCCATCACAGTATCACAATTTGCAACCTTCCCAGATGGCTTCTGACAAGCCAAGTCAATTATGAAAACCAGATTGTCTTGCTTCACTGATTTTACTTAATGACCGTGGTAAAATGGTAATAGAATTGGGTCCAGTCATGTGTTGACTTAATGAATGCATCTCTTAGCAACCAACATTCCAATCTCAAATACACACACACACACATGAATATGACATGTATCTCAACATGTTTTATATATACAGTATACACACAGTATGTATACATTATTCATATACATATACACAAACACAAATACAGTACATATATGTTTGTGTGTGGTGTGTGTATACACACACACATACACGTATCTATACATACATGTTGAGATTGATGTCATATGTATAGTGGTGCCAAGTGACAGCAACATCAGGAACGAGTATAAGAAGCTGGAAAAGTATCAGGAGGAACTAGAGAGGAAGTGTAAAGTAAAGGCCAAATTGGTCCCAGTAGTGGTAGGAATGCTTGAAGCTGTGTCTTCTAAGTTAGGAAAGTGACTCCAACAGATCCCAGGAACCACATCAGAGCTCTCTGTCCAGAGTGTAGTGCAAGGATAGCTAAGATAATGCGCAGAACCCTCAAACTGCAGAGGGCACTCAAGAGTGAGGAAGACCTACATTACCCATGCGGGTGAGAAAGGAATTTTTGTTTACATATAGACACACACACATTTACTCATCCCCTAACAGAAAACTAACATAGCTATATGCCATCTGAGAGCAGAGGTAGAAAGCCTCTCCCTATTCATGGACAGCAGGGAAATGAGATGACCAAGGTCTTAGCAAACTTTTTTTTTTTTCATGAAGTCTAATAGCTTGTTGGTTTATTTACAAGGCTGATATAATTATATCTGATTTATGTATCATCACCAAACAGATGTTAACAACTGAATGTTCCAAATTAATTCAAAATTTGCATTTCCACAAGCAAATCAAATAATGGTTTTTATTAGTGCATATGAAGGTTAGCTGTATGAACTGTTTACATTAGATAGAAAAAGGCTTGCTATCAAATAGTTAAATACAACTGTTCTACTGAAACATAAAAAGCTGGGGAAATGCATTATGTTTCACATGTGATGGAAGATGAGGCAGTGTACGCCATCTTCCTTTTTCCTAATTATTACCTCGAAACGAGGCCACACACTGTTTCCATGTTAACAAGAAATAGATTTCTGCTTGGTCCAGCCATTCTGTCTTCTACTCCTCCACAAATAAAGCATTTGGAATGCCAGAAGAACAAGTTTTTAAATCTCATGTTTTATAACAGGAAAAAAACAAACAAAAAATCTTGACCATCTTGAACTTGTCAATGTCCTTTTTCAATTAATACTAAACCCCAAGTCATTCAGTAGAAAATATGTAAAAGTAGTTGCAGCTATTTCATACCATCTTAATTCATTCTTGCTTTCTGCTAATCAATGAGTGATTAAAACCACTGAAGATGGGATGAAGCAATTTAATATATGGGCAAAAAGGAAAGTAAGAAAGGCAACGTAGGTAAGATTGAGATGAAGAACATTACAGAAGGCCAGGGTGAGCTGTAGAAGAAATTTAGAATTAAAGCCATTACATTTCTGTATTTCCCGCGAAGAAAACAAACCAAAATGGAGCCAAAATGATTCATTGTAAAACTGAAATTGGTTTATTAGAAAGTGTCCAGCACATTTGGTTGCTCTTTAGTCTTTAACCATCATCAAAAGCAGAGGGCTATTGCCTCACCAACATTAAAACATACTTATTCATCACATGCCAATACCAAGCTCAATATTTTAAATTGGCAATTTAAAAATGACATTACCATAAAAATATAACATGTGTAAATTAAGAGTTAAGTGGAGTGGGATAGCTTGGGCATAGCCTCAACTGTCATCCTGATGTGCTAACTGCATCTCTTAATCAAAACACTAAAGATATACCTCCCATTATCAAGAAAGCAGTCCCATTTTTTTTTCTCTAGAAAAAGGCAGAACAAACTACTATGGTACTGAAATTTAAAAAATATTTAGGAAAATAATGTGTTTTTAGTAATAAAAATATAACCTAATTGCCTGCCAAGATACCAGCTAATTAAACATGCTGTCCTATTAATTTAAATAGGAAACTTAAACACCCCTGAGATGTCAAGGACTTAAAATGCATCATACTGTAAGTACATTCTCTCGCTTTAAAAATTCCCTTTTAACTAAGTTGTGGTAGAATCATCAGCTAGCATAGACAAGGGAGTAAAGAGGCAGTCTAGCTTGAAGTTGGTCCATGGGAGGAAATGGCAGAGGCCAGACAATTAAAGCCTTTTCAAGGGTATGCAGTGAGTTTTGCAACATTGTTATAAAGATATGATCAACAATAAAGAAACAGGTGAATGAGCACCTCACTACGCTTTGGATGCTTCTGGAATGAAAGGATTAGCCAGTTATTAAGCTGTTGTCCAGGGGACACCTGAATGTGTTAACAGCACACATTCTTTGGGAAGGATCCTTCCATGTCCTTTGACATGACAGTCATAGAGTAGGCCTATGGCAAGCTACAAAGAACCAACACTGGATAGAAGCAACAGAGGAGCTGGCATCTGGGCCTAACGAAAGCTGGGAAGTATGGAACTCATTGAATAGACTGTGCATGGGTACAAGATCCAGACACTATGAACAAATGGGCCTCTCCGGTGGCTTTTGCTCTTTGCAAATGTGGTGATCTGCAGACAACAACACATATTGTACATCTGCCTTTTGTGTCCTGATAAGTGTACACTTGAAGACCTCCCGGCAGTGCGACATAACACAATTAATGTTGCTAGTTTCTGGGAAAGACCTGTTTAATTTGTATATATTTTAATTTTGTACTTTATATTTTAAATGTTATGCCATATTTTAATTGTGAAGCTTCTGACACGAATAAACATAAACAACAATAAAGAAACTACTTTGGCCTATTCAGGGAGTTATTCTGGTTCCTTGCACCTGACCTTAATCTCACCAGATTCAGTGCATTCTCTTGGGAATAGGCAAATGAAGGCTTCAATAGTTTGGCCTCTGCTGCTTCCTCCTACAGAGTGATTCCAAGCTAGACCAGCTCTTTACTCCTTCCTCTACTTGGCCAATGACTCCAACAGAATTAATCAGTATACCAAGCATTCCAAAAACCCCTGTTCAGCCACTTATGTTTCCTGTATCTTCCTGCAGAAAAGGAAGGCTTTTGGTTGATGTCAACTGCATAGAGCAGAGAAACTGCACTTGCTGAAGTTTTACATAGTTCTTAAGATCACATGAATCCTCTTCTCCTAATATACTTATGAGGAAGTCTTTTTAAATATGACTGTCTATATATCCAGGGTGGCATAACATCCAAGGTAACTTTGACGTTTACATTATTTAATTTATACAAACTTTATATTATAAATAATTAAAATGATCTACATCAGGAATTTATAATTCAAATTCAATTTATATTATTCAACATAAATCTAAAATTCTCATTCAGCTCTTGGCTGCCTCTATGCTTTTGAAGTGCCATTCATATGCTTTGAGTCATTCTAGTTCTATTCAGGCAGTTACCTAAATGTGTGAAAAGATCAGTATAAAGAGAGGAATAGGCTTGTATCTCATTGATAGCTATCCTTGTGTTGTAATTATATCCATGTTCAAGCATTCACAAATACAGGTCTCCTATGGGTCCCCTACATACCTCATGCCAGGAAAAGATCAGGTGCATGGTTTTATCCTCTCCCCGCATATTTAGACACCAAGTCTAAATCACACTAAGCCTTTTGATTTATTTTATTGCATGAACCCACTGGTTTACTGTGGTCTAATAATCAATGGCTAATGGTGTAGCAGTTTGGAAATTAAAATTAAACAAGCCTGATATTTAAACACAGCCAGAAAATAAAAATATTCTTCAAAACTAAATTAAGGATTGTGTTGAGAGAAGATTACAGACATTAGGTAGTTAGCAAATCATAGGAAAACGTGACACAACAAATAATTTTGTGAGACGGAAACATAATATTGTATGACAGCGGCCCACAAACCTTTGGGTGTCAGGGACCAGTTCCATGGAGGGCATTTTTTCATGGACCAGGGTGTGTGGTTTCGCACGCTGCCTGAATCCCGTGCATGCGCAGATGGTGCTTCACTCACTTGTGTGGCCCAGTTCCTGCCTGTCTGCAGCCCAGGGGTTGTTGACCCTGCTGTATGACATTTTCCTAAGTATCTTTACTGCATTATAAACATTATCTGGGTCTTAGCACTGTATACCTATGTCCCTCAAAAGAAATACACAGGACTCATTTTTGCAAGAGGTATCTAATTTTTGCTTTCAATATGAAGATAAAATGAGGATTAATCAGCACATAAGGTCTAATAAGTCTTACCCCATTAAAAGCAGTAGGCAGCTAGAAAGCAAGGGGCATAATCAGATATGTATAACTGTCTCCTTTGGCATTCTGCAATGGCTTTATAAGTTAAAAGCTACTGTCACTTGCCTGATTTTTCTCTAATGTCAAGTCTGATACTGTACATGATTTTGTCCTGAGTTATTATATTCAAAAAAGTACCCAAAAGAATCAATTCATCAAACATAACATTTCTATCACAGGAAGAATGGCAGAATTTTGTGGGTTTTTTTTCCTGTAAAGCTGAAAACCCTTCTGAAGAAAATTAAATTACGCAGAGGAATGAGAACTCTCTCAACAAATAATACTACAGTGCCTCTGGCAAGAATGTTGAGAGATAGATTTGCTCTTTGTATTTTTCTAAATGCTACACAAATACTAGGTGACTTACCACAGAATATAAGCCAAAAGTTGTGGGCAGTCATCAGAAAGATCCCATCCAAGCAGAAACGATAGCAGTTTAAAAATCAAATAGCTAAATTCACTACATTGTGTAGTCAGCAGAGAACACAAAAAATAAGGATTTCTTTCTTTTGCAAGAACACTAGACAGTTCAGGTCAGACTGAAAAAAGAACTTATGATTCCATCACCCCACCCCCCAAAAAATCCAAGTGCTTTGAATTATGAATCACTTCCTTGAATATTTGAAAATGTATTGCTGATTTATACAATAACCTCATTGTACAATAAACTCTATTCCTTTAAAATTCTTTTAAAAGAACTTTATTCCTTTAAAATGGTGCCTTTCAACTGCAGTACTGTGGTTCTTAAGAGAGCTCTTTAGAAATACTGCTTAGCACCCTTTTCTGTAATATATAAATAAAAGAGACAACTGAACGCAACATGTAGCACAAAGCCAATTTATATAGACCTATCAAAAGTGCACCCACATGATCTTAGATATTGGGGAAGAACTTTAGGTCTGATAAGCAGAGATTTTTCTATTATCATATACAAGAAGAAAAGATGAGAAAGGTTGAAAATCATTTAACTAAAAGGAGTAAATATGCTTTTAATTAGGTGAGACTGTGCTTCCTAGTCTCACAGGGTTCAACTGAAATTAAAACCATAAAAGGTTCAGTCTCAGCATGGTATTCTTTATCTTCTTGAAAAATAGGATACAAGATTGTTTGAATTATTATCTAAATGCGTAAGAAGTGCTCCTGAGTTTAAGCTGCATCACAGTACTCTAGTATTTGCTAACTTGATAACTATGAACTGTGAACACAGGGTGGACACATTCCAAGGATCTGCCATGTTACTGATGGGTTTTGGCAGTTTGTAGGTTTTTCCTCCATAGATAATATATTTTAGTGTAGTCAACCCCCAAAACACCTACAGAGGAGCTAAAAGTGTTAAGTGGCTTCAAGTTGTAGTTTGTTGGCTTTAGGAAGAATGTAGATCATCACATCTCATAGTGAGAATACTCAGAATATGCGTGCGCTGTAAGCTGGAAGTTTGTATTTAAGGACAGTAGGTTGTCGGTACTTAGGAACAACCTGCTCACCTCGTCTTCCTTCAAACACATCACTGATTTCTCTTAAGAGCAGGGACATGTCATTCAGCTGAGATTCCCAAGCCTCACAAAATACATCCAGATTTTCTTTTGCAATTTTACTGGAAGGATGCAATGTCAGGGTTTCAGCAGCAGAAATTATCTGAAGGAAACAAAACAGGCTTTGTCATACACATACAATTGTATATCAGCATCCATCTCCACAGGACAAAAAAAAAAAGCTATCTCTCATTTGTATTAAAAGGGCTGGATAGCATTTGCAAACAAAGCTTTACAAAAAAACGGGACTTTCATAGGGAATGCTATGCTATATATTGTATTGAACGAGTGGCTGTTTTAAACTAAGTATGTTGACAGAATATAACTGTATTATAAGAAATCTTACTTTCAAGAAGACTTTGAAAAGGATTATTAATTTATTCTTCTGATGTAGGGAAGAAGGACTTCCAACAGAGTGAAAAGGCTTTAAAGAAGCACTTTATTGATTATACTGTCAGGAATAGTTAATGTGAATCCAGCCTCATAAATCATGCTAGCCAAGATTATTATAATATGATTATTATAACATAATCATTATAAACATGATTCCTTATCCAGAACCCTCTTTAAAGAGATTTTTTGTTTGTTTTGCTACCTACGTATTTAGGAAGTCTGTATGTATGTTGAACTTAATAGTTAAAAGACACTTTAACACTATTATTCTAAGCTTAATATACTTTTTCCGTTATGAAATTCTGATCTATTTTCAAATATTGATGGAATATTGATATATTTCCATGTGAGAATAGTACATGTTATGGACAAAGTTTTCAGTTGCAATTTCCAGCACCTGAAGCTAAAGAATTAGAAACAGAATTGGAAAATTCAATTGGAGCAAATTGTCATGTAAAATTATAAATACCTGAGGCCCAGTCACATGAAAAGTATCTTCTGCATGGAGACAAGTAATTTCAAGTGGCTCTGTTCCAGAGACATGTCTCAATAGATGGCATATCTAAAAAGAGAAATAAAACAATCCAACATAATCACAAACCTATGTATGAATTGTAGAATTACTCGTATTATGGAACATATATGGTGGATACTAAATTAAAGCTTTGGATATACAGGAATGATTCTAGAGATTCAAGTTTACTCTTGGTAGAAAGCTGGACATATGCCTGACATCTAAGCTAAAGGATGTTTAAGTATTCTTCTGAACTCCTGTTTTTCCAATCCTGACCTTTCAATCATCCTAAATAAGCCAAGGGATATATGGCTGGGGCAAAGATTGAAAGGAAGCAGTGAAAGCTAGGAAAACTCCCTGAAATTCTTATTGATATTTTTTAAAAGATACTTGATGACATCTGGAATCCATTTCTATTTCCACCCAGGATTGTTGAGAATCAGGTGGCATACCAGATTAATAAATTATTGTTGCTGTTATTATGATTATTTTGTTCCATGAGCATGCTTACTTCTTTTAAATCAATAGTATTAAAAATATGGTAGGATTGGCACAACTACTTGGGTTTAGAAATCAATCAGCTGTTGGTTTTAAGAACAGATACCCTAAGGCTCCAAAACAACTTTCACCATAAGGGTGTTCTGAAGAATGAAGCAGGAGCATTAACACAGCACCTCAATTCCAAAAATCTAAGATTTTATTTGAATACGTTCTCTTGCAAGAGTTAGGGATATTTCCTTTTACTTACCTGGGTGAAGGGGAGAGGTTGCAGTTGGTCTTTAAATGGTATGGTGGGGTAAGGACAAAGAAGTGGGTTGGGCCAGGACAAAAAGTAAATGTAAATGATTATTCCGTATGCCAATAGTAATTCCTGACACATTAAAATTTCAATTCAGCAATAATTTTTGAAGGGAATGAAGACTGGGGGCACATATATGACCACGCAAAGAGAATTCCTATTTAAGGGCTATGATCAACTCAAAATCTCCCAGCCGACTGCAGTACTCTTTATGGTAGAAAGCAATTACTAATACCTCTATTAAAGAAAAAATAATAATTTCAATGATATATCCCAGATAAGCAGAATTTTGGCTTTTTCAACATAATCCAAACTTACTTCGATCAATTGGTCTTTCTGTTCAGAGAGCTTATAGCTATGCTCTGCAATAGCTTCTATATTTCCTTCTGCTCCGCAGGCTTTCAGTGCTTTCAAAACAAGGTGATCAGAATGATACTTTATCAGGTCTGCTGCAACAGATATTGCTGCACTATGGAGCTTTAACATTGGAAAAATTAACACAAAACAATGGGAACTTAGAGCAAGCAGTCATTATTTCCAGGCAATCAGAACATTTATACAAAAGCCACTGATATTTCCTTTTGAAATTTGGCATATCTGTTTAACGTTTTTTGTGGTCAACTAATTTTTCTGAACTAATATTCTAGACTATGTCAATATAATGAATCTGAAAAAAAATTGTGATCCATGAGGAATAAATACGGTAGTCAAAACTCATTTACATAGAAAAGAAGATGCTTACCAAGAGTTAACTGTTGCTTAGTTCTCACATTGCATTAAACAATAACAAAAAATCCGATAGGGCTAGGTATATTAAAAATCTCAAACACATATGGTTGATCTTAAATAATCTGCTATTTAAAGTAGAAAAAATATGAACTAATATAGGGTTTATGGAGCAAAGTATTTCCACTTTGAATTTACTAAACCATTTATCATTTCTCTTCTGGATGCTGGCACCCTATTAGACCTGTTAGTCCTACATATCAGCAAATGATTATATTATCTGATAGGTCTTGGATACAGACTTGAAAATTGCTTCTTGAAAACAACAGTATTAATTTAAACAGTATCACAAGTATCTAAACTTGTCGCATGGTCACAAAGATATATATGAAAAAATGTGGGTGATACTATAAAAATCTAAAGAGACCTGCACTGAAGAGAGTAAGAATATTTATAACATGTCTGCTGGGAGCAGGTTTTCTGTGCATTGCACAGCTTCCAGGCACAAACAGAAAATGTGAGCAGAATAAGAATTCACTGAGATAGGTCTCATAATTATTTAAAATACTTCTAATGCAGAATTTTGATTATTTTGACACATAATTGTAGTGTTCTTCTTCAGCAATATTTATTCATAATTCTTGCAATGTTCTTTGCTGCTACAAATAACCAATCTGTCAGAAGAAAGAAGAGGATTAACTTTATCCTTGTTCTTCTTACAGGATGGAACTAAGTGATCTAGAATAAAATCAAAAGTATGCTAAATAATCTATAACACCCAGGGGCAGAAAATTAAACTTATAAGAGGCTTCATCACAAATTCAGAGGATTCGCATAACTATGTAACTATCAGCCTTAGAACTCTCTCTAATTGTAAAAAAACAACAAGGGTGGGTAACACAACTGTTGTACTCTAAGAATAGTAAGGCTAAACTGCTTCTCTGCTTTTGTTCTTTTCTTAAACATGCCTGCTTAAGTACAGCTTGGGAAGAGATTGTTGCTCAGTAGAAGAATACATACTATGCATGTAGAGATTTTGTCTTCAGTAAAAATTAACACTTGCTGGGAACAAAGGCATCTGCAAGATCCAATGCGTTTGTCAAAACGTGGTAAATATACAAAAGGGACAGAGCTTCCATTGCAACCCTGTTTTCATCGCTTGACACACCCACTCACAAATGTCTCTTGTTGGGGAAGATCTCTCTGTGCCCAAATCTCTGATAGATGGATTGTGGCATTCAGAGGTAGCTCAAGTAGAAGTTTCAACATACTTAAGCATGGGTCCTGCTGACCAGAGCTGCTGAAAACTACAGTCTATCACACTTGGGAGCCATAATTTCCTTGGCCCTGAAATGCTGATTAGACTAACAAAGAATCTGTCCTGATATAATGTGTGTATGTGAGGGGAGGAGTTAGTGATGGTGGAATCCTAATAATAGAAAAGGAAAAGAAAAAATGAAAAGATATTAATGGTAATATGGATCTGTAAAATAAGATTTCATGTACTCATTGCTTTCTTTGATTAAATTGGCTTGCACAGGGCTGTCAGGTAAGTTCTCTGTAGGCCTGTGCTCTTCTAGGCAAGCTTCCTTCCTGGGTCAAGAATTAACATTATTTGGTGACCAAGGACTTATTAATGGGGGAGGGGGAGAAATTATAGCTGACTGCTCTATCACACCTGTGAATAAAAGGGATTTTGAGAGTAATCTTTGGGAAATATTCTTTCCTTGTGAATTGTTATAAGCCTTTTTGAGAATTTTCTTTATTCCTCACAGTCTAGGCAGGAAACTATCCCATCAGTTTCTTGCAATCAAGGTTGGAGGGGACTCTGAGGGCCACAGCAAAAGCTAATAGGTTACTCACATCTATGTAGCTCATAAACTGAATTATTAAAAGTGACTCATTGTGAATAAAAAGCATTTAAGGTGGATCCTGAAACAACCCCAAACAATTGGTATTCCTGCATGAAAGTTATGTCCAGCAGGTTTCTACTCATAACAACCTGCTGGTTAAATGGCAAATTCAGACAGTTGGAAACATTGTTATATCATTATATCTCTATTGAGATTATAATCATTCATTCTGAAGAAGTTACACTTATTATAACTCCCAAGCATATTCCAGATTGAACTGGATTCTAACTTACTTCTCTTTGAAGTTCATTCATGCACTGGCACATTTTTAGTATGGATATTTCCAAGTCTTCTGTGATTTCTCTTTTCTTCTGATTTTGCTAAAAAAAAAACACCAACAATTTTAAATTCTACAAATTCATGCCTTTAGACCATTTGCTCTTTTAAATAAAATCTTAAAATTGAAAAATCCTAGCATGGCTTTGCAAATATAATTTCAATCCAAGAATAATTTTATCTTGAAATGTGGCTTTAAAAAGATATGCCTAAGATAGATATGCATGAATTCTATATTAATTCAAATATCATGCTGAACCATGGTTTAATCATAGTTTGTTGAATAAGAAACAACTGACTGATTTACACAATTTGCTGAACAATGTGCTAAGGTAAAATCAAACCAGTTTAGTGCAATATGAGAATTCAATAAAGTTCTGTATGAAGAATTAATGACAATAATCCATTTTGTTCTTATTTAGTAAAATTTGTCAAGAGTCGTGAAGTATATTGTTGATATGACAAACCTGTTGCTTGAAGTTTACCTGGATTAATACATCACACTAATCCAGTGTTTGCAAACATAGTTTTCCAAGCTGCAATAGTTGTGTTCATACATCATACTAACCAAAACCAAACAAAGCATACTTTAACTTGAACACAACCATTGTAATTTGTAACCAATAGCTTTACAGGTTGGCATATAGAAAGATATACTGCTCTAATATATGGTACCCTGTAAAGCCCCAAAAAAATATATTTAGATTTGTTAAGCAGTGTTACATACACAGGTAGGGTACGATCTATTGTTCAGAGGCCATTCAAACTAGCGATGGCACTGAACAAGTGGTACTTATGACAGGTCTTTAGAGTTTCAGTTGTTGCAGTGTTTTCATGGTCATATGATTGTGATCTAGGTGCTTGGCGCCCTGCTCACAATTGTAACATCACAATGAGCCACGGTCATATGGTCCCAATTTCTAATGTTCCCTACTGGCTTCCCCTAGCAAAGTCAATGGGAGAAGCTGATAGGGTATTAGCCTGCTTAATGACCCATGTGATCCTTGCTTAACAATGACAAACGAGGACTGCAAAGACTGTTGAGACTAAGTGAAATGATCATGTGACATAACACTTTACAGCCATGCAGCTTAGCAATGGCAATTTTGTTCTCAATTTTAATCTGAAGGTTTACCTGTATTTCAGTTCTACGTGATTTCAATTTCTTCCCTACATTTTTAAAAAATTTAAATCGTTAAAGTCTTCTGGAGTCCTCCACATTTTCTTGTTGCCCATGTTAGTTGAGAGCAGTGACTGTTATTGCAGTATACCAGAGGGTTAAGGTTATATCTTTTTCGGAATCTGACTGCTAGTGATAGGAGAAAAGTTATATTTATAAAAAGGATTACACTGAATTTTTTTTTATTTATGTAAACATTTGTAAAATCCAGTTTTAAATGGCAAAGGTGATTACCCCATAGAATTTGCAATACTGTGATGATACATGTTATCATGTAGAGCGTATAAACTGATTTAGTATTAGTTCTTAAATCAACAGTTTTCCTGGGGAAAATGTGTTTCTTACAGCATTGATCCAGGCTGACACCAACTGTTCCAATTCCATCTTTGCTTGTTTGGAGAGCTCCAAGATATGCCCCCGGGTTTCATGGCTTGTATAAGCAGAATCAGTAAAATCTTCTGTGAGTTCAAGGACAAGACGCAGCAATGCTCTAAGGCTGTCCCTTGGCAGAAGGTAAAGGTTTTCTCGCAGACCTTCTACCTTATTCTGAAAAGAGGGGAAAGGGATATACTAAAAAAGCAAAAAAGACTGAAGTATCAGTGCAGCTACAGCTACAGGAGAAAGGTCTAGAACAGGGGTAGGCAACCTTGGCTCTTTTATGACTCGTGGACTTCAACTCCCAAAATTCCTGAGTCAGCATGGCTGGCTCAGGAATTCTGGGAGTTGAAGTCCACAAGTCATAAAAGAGCCAAGGTTGCCTACCCCAGGTCTAGAATCAAAACTCTCTTCCATCACATAACCTAAAACAAGCTATACATTCCCACCCATAATATGGTAAATTCACTCAATGTTCTTTTAATGTTTATATAACTAAAGTTATTAATATGTATTCCATCCTATAAGCTATTGTTTAAAATATTTTGTTAATTGAATTAAAGATGGCATCTCAGTGTCTTTATGCTGACTATGAATGACTCACAATGGAGCTTCACATCTCAGGGACACTCAATTTGGGGCCCTGCCAATGTTTGAGCTAACTCTCACAATCCTTTGTTGATGTATTGGTTAGGGCTGTATAGAGTTGTGGTTCAAAAGACTCAGAAGGCATCAAGTTTCCCCGTTTCAAAACACATGCGCACGTTTATTTTAATGACAATCAGAGCAGCAGTAGGAAAATGCAAATCTTTAAAAATGTTATAAATATGACCCATGTCTTACACTTATGTGAGAGAACACCCACAACCTGCTGCATTTTTTTAAGAATACATTTCTTATAGAAAGGATGATGGACTTCAGTTAAATAATATCAATTCCCACATGCAATAACCTACACAACCATCCATGTAAAATGGCTGATATGAATAGGGAATTATACCAGATGATATTTGTGCAAAGCAGCTTCCCAAATGATCTGTCAAACTTTCATATACCTGCCTCCCCTCAAAAGTTGGGTTGAAACAGGCATAATTGCAAGAAAAATAATCCATACTACGCCCGTGAGATATATCACTAAGAAGATTATATTATAGAAAAGCCCTCCAATGGCAGGTGTTAGTTGCGTAGTGATACCTATTATATAATTTTGCCATTTTAATACAAATTAGAAGTTACCAACCTATTGGGTTGGAATCATTTGGGTTAACCACCAGTAGTTTGAGTTGTATCCAACATTATCTACCTTCTGAGTGAACCTCCTCCACATTCTCTTGAAGGAATTTTCATATTTTAATCATACATATACATGCATTGTTTTTAGTTCATAAAATCCGGGACAGAGTATGGACAAAGCACACTGAAAAGCCTTGAACATACTGAAGTATTTGAAAATCACTGGAAAGTTCTAGTCTAAAGCACTGAAATGTTTTTCCTCTTGCATCTAGAAATAGTCTCTAAAAAAGACTAATCTGTCCTTACCTTGAATTCCTTAATGCCATTATAGATGCTCATTGGGCCTGATTCATTTTCTCCATTGGGCCGAGTGTCTGCTACAATCTCTATAACCTGTTCCAAAGCTAGTCTCATTCTGTGGAACACTGCTCCTTTGTTAACACGGGCAGATTCACAATCGGGATGCCTTAAACAGGTCTGAAGATCAATAATTTGAGCAAAAAAAAAAGCAATAAGCAAGCAGATAAATAAAAATACATCAACGCTATTTGGATCTTTTTGTGCTATATACTAAGGTGCATCCCATTAATTCCCCCCCCTACCCCTGGGCAAATCAGCCAAGGCTGCTTATCAATTTCATCAGTGAATCAGCCACTGCATTTGTCAACATTTGCTCTGGGGTCCCTCAGAAAGCCTTCAGTCTCTAGACATGTTGACTGATGTGGCTTTAGTCAATGCTGTCCCTAGGTGTTCTGGAGAGTGGCTTTCAAGTCTTTTGCTTTGCTGATAACAACAGAAAAAAATAGTTACCTTGGAGGCAGTGAGAAGCATCATGGTACATTTCTCAAGAATAGACCTAGCAGCTGCCATTTTAGCTTTCTTCTTTTCATCTTTCAGATCCTGAGGAAAGAAAAGCAAAACCTTCTAATAGAGAACAATAATTCTTGGGAAAGGGAGGTGTAGGACATCTACTGAAAAACAAAGTATGTCATATCTTTTAATTATTAAAAAAAGACAGAACCTCATAATGGGATATGGAGAGAAATTTGGGCAGGTTTTCTGTTGCTTCTAAACCAGTGGTTCTCAACCTGTGGGTTGGGACCCCATTTGGGGTCGAACGACCATTTCATGGGGGTTGCCAAACAACGCAGTCCACCATTTTTTTTCCCCTTCTCCTTAGCTGTGCTACTCCCTTTTATTCTATTGGCTTTTGAAAGCCAATAGAATAGACTCTCTTGAATAGAGTCTAATTCTACTGGCTTTCAAAAGCCAATAGGAATTGTCCAGATTGTCTCTGCCCTGCTGAGCCCGCCAAAAGTCCCATTCTGCAAACGGTGCTGCACCAGTTGAGTAGTCTTCGACTTACGGCCGGTTGAGTAGTCCTCGACTTACGACCGGTTGGGGGTCGCGGCATTAAAAACCACTGTTCTAAACTATTAAATTCATGTGATTTCAGTGTAACGCCTTCTGAAAACATAACTAAATGTGCATGGGTTTTGACTACTGTGGGCAGATAGGCATTACTATTTTGCTTGCAATATCTAATATCATTGTTTATTATAATCATCGATGAAGATGTTAATTCTACTTAATTCTTAGAATTCCAAGTAGAATGAGAATGATAGCTGAAATAGCTTCAGTCAGTAAAGGAGACATGTCTCATATCTCAGATTTATCAATATAAAACATTCCACGGATATAATGCAAAATTTTTCTTTTACAATATAGAAGTTACAAAGAAGGAATTCAAAAGATCTAACAATTTAGATTTGGTTTCAATAGAATTAAAGGAGTTGTTTGCTAGTACAGAACAATTAAAGGAATTGTTTGCTTGTCTAGATCAGGAAAAGCAGGAAAAGTAACCACACTTTTTTACCACTTTCTTCAAGGTAGATAGCAGCAGAGGGCCAGGCAACAATATGATATATCCTAAGAATCTGGAATACCTTTTTGGAACTAAATGGGGGGGGGGGCTTTCTCTTTGCTTAAGTAACATTAGTGTCTTATGTCTGTCAGAAACATCTCATTCTGTCACAAAATCAAGGTGCTTTTCTTCAGCATAATAGTTTGCTGGCAAGGTCTGGCAGGCAGTCTTAGATGCTCAAGTGGGAAGCTATTTGCAGACTTCTCACCACGGTCTTCATGCTGAGAAAGAATTTCTGCTGACCCAGCAATCTATTTATGAACATTTTCCCACTGATGGTCAGTCAGCATCCCATACTCAGCCTATTGTGGGGGGTTTGTTTTTTATTTAACGATGGTAGTTTCCCAGTATATTTCTGCTTTATTTTTTTCCTTTTGTACTTTTGCAAATGTTGGGTCATCCAAGACTGCCAATACTTCACAGCTGAGAGAAAACACTGCTACTGTGGCTCAATTAGGACAGATGATGAGACTAAAAGTCACTAGTATTACTAAAGTCAGTGGTATTCTGCCTTTTATGGTTATTAACCGTGACAGCTCAGATGGGATCTCACTGTTCAGAGGCACTTTTATGTCTTACAATACTTGAAAAAGTGCAGATTGGGTGCACATATTATAAACACCAACTGTTAAGTTTTTAACCAAGTGACCATTCTGCCTTTCTGTAAAAAGGCAGAATTGAGAATGAGGTAATTTTTGCTACTGTTTTCTACAAAGCATTGAACAGATAGACTTTTGTCTAGTACTTACATTTTGTCGATCTCCAGTTAAGTGGGCAAATTCCACCATTTCATTTCCAAACTGACTGAATATTTGCACAAATTCCTGAAAACTGCTCACTTTCTCTAACTGTTCCATTGTCTTAAGGACCTGTCAAATATGTTGAAATCATGAATGATTGATGTATCACTGACAAGACAAATTTAGAATTTCTCAAAATCAGTTCCTGTTTTCTATATTAAGATGCAACCAGTTGTGCATGGCCATACAGTCAAGATTATTTATGTATTCTTACTATACACAGTGCAGTTTAACTTTATGTATTACTGGATGAAAGGCTTATTTATTGCTCCCATAATAGCTATACATATCTATTACATATTATCTAGCTAAAATTTAGCACTTAGGTTTCCTATTAATAAGAATAGGAACACACATACACATACACAAACATACACACAATGACCTTGTACTGAACTCAACGCCAGTTAAAAATATTTAATTATCACTTCCATAATATACAATATAAAACTGTATGCAAAATGTACAATCAGTATTCACAAAATCATAATTACCTTGTTTCTAGAAGCTATAATTTGCTTAATAACTATTATGTCAGCTAACACCAATACTTTAGTAACTGAGGAAAGCAAGAGCCTTGCAGCTTTTACCACTCCTGTTTTGTCTGTAAAAATTGTTATCTGGCCATCAGATTCTGGACGATCCAAGGTTGCAATGTCTGTAAGCTGTGCAATCGTCTCACCTAAAAGCAAAAGGTAGTTAGTTCAGCCTTGCTCCAAATACAGAATCACTGGTTAAAAACTGTATTTTACAAAAGAGCTCTAGGCCATCAGTGGAGCAGAAAGATAATTTTAAATTCTGTGCATTATTTTTATCAATGAGATGGTGCTGCTGGTTATGATGAGATGTGGTGCTGGCTACCAGCTTGGCTGACTTCAAAAAAGTGTTGGGCCAATTCAGGGAAATCCTGGGGATCAATAGTGATTAGCTTTGACGGCAGTGTAATTGCCTCTGAAAGCCATCTGTGGGAGACTAATGCTCTTTCTTGCACAATGGGGGACCACCAGGAAAAGAGACTGCTGGACTTAATAGGCTACTGTCTGATACAGTAGGACATTGCTTATGTTGTAGAAGGAAGTAAGCTTGTTCACCTTTATTTTGAAACGTTTATAACTTGTCTTATTATGATTTGGGGACCAAGGAAACTCATTAATGTTACAGCATCACAAAATATGGAAATTTACTGAGTAGACCATATACATATATAGATCTATTTAATGTATATAGTGCTTCACTTACAATCACAACTGAGCCCAAAATTTCTGTTGCTGTATGAGACTGTTGTTAAATGAGTTTTGCCCCTTTTATGACCTTTTTTGCCACAGTTGTGGTGAATCACTGCAACTGTTAAGTTAGTAACGTTTAGTTATTAAGTGAATCTGGCTTCCCCATTGATTTTGCTTGTCAGAAGGTCGTAAAAGATGATCACTTGACCCCAGGACACTGCAACCGTCATAAATACGAGCCAGTTGCCAAGCATCCAAATTTTGATCATGTGACCAAGAGGATGCTGCAATGGTCATAAGTGTAAAAACTATCATAAGTCACTTTTTTCAGTGCCATTGTAACTTCAAAAGGTCATTAAATGAACTGTTGTAAGTCAAGGACTACCTATATGTCCTAGTTAGTCATTTTTATGCTTACAAAATATGGAAAATGGTGGTATATCTTTTTTAATCGCCCTGTCAATTAGTTCCTCTCCTGTAAACGTCCATATTTTGAGAAAGAAGGCTATTGTAATCATCAAATACTCCTCATCGAAAAGAATTTGGTTCCATTTTAAAGCATGAAGCATCTAGAATACTGCCCAGCTCATATCACTCAACATTCTGAGAAATTAGGAACTGCAACTCATGCTCCAAAGAACCAATAAATTTATAATTAGAGTTACTGTTTTAAATCACAGCAGATATTTATGAGAACTGTGACTATTCCAGTTTCTTTGTGATGATGCTTTCCTACTGAAGACCACAGATCAACAGTAGGTGTTAATACAATTTCAACAAAACTTGAGATATCTGATCTAAAATAATCTCCAGTGGTATTTCTCCAAACAGTTAAGAGATTGAAATGCAAGTCTCTGTTGCAGGTATTTTTATAGCAAATAATGCCCTGCTTCTCAGGTTCATAAACCTTCACCTACCTGCTTGCTTTGCTTCAGTGCAGGCTGCCTTCATTTCTTCTTTCAGCTCTTGGTTTTCTTTGGCTATAGCTTCACCCACCATGACAAATTTTCCAACAGCTAGGTTAACTGCTTGGCCCACCTGTTGGACTGCTTTCAATGTCTTATCCGACTTCTTTGGCTTATCTTTATGGTTAATCAGAGTTGTTATCTAGAAACAGAAACAGATGACAGCCAAAACCATGTGTTAAATATTGCTTTGGTATCTTTATTCCCAAGAAGTTCCACTCAAAATAATATCTGAGTAACACATTATGAAATCCTTTTCCTATCCCTTGCATGTGTTTGGCCAGTGCTAGAGTGTCTTATTTTAATTTTACTTAAATGTTCCTTCTTAGTTCCTTTGAGGTCTTTTAATTTTTGTTGTTTTAATAATTTATGCAATGTTTATACATCAGAACTAGCCCTCTCTCCGTCCTAATGCCTTTCCTTGTGTGAGGGAGTTTAGGCAGAACCCAGCCGACAAATAATAATAATAATAATAATCATCATCATCATCATCAACAACATTCAATTAAAATTCCAAGTCTAATAAGCAGAACAGAAAGTAATATAAAAAAACAAATTGATATAAAAGTAATTGCTAACTAAAAAGACATCTATAAAATATGCTAGGGAGTAACTGTAAAAGGTCCATCTATATTCGCAACTTAATTTCACCCCTACTCCCTTCTTGCCAGGTCTAAAATGATTAGTAAAATATACCTGAAGATGAACTTCCACAGACTGACCTCAATCTGAATCTATTCTGAGTGACAAACAGGCAGAGTTTGGGGAACATAGATTTACACTAGAAACCATAATATGGTGCTGCAATATCTGCATTTGTGCCTTTCACTGATTTTAAGGCTGCATTCAACTTCATTTTCAGGATTAGACCATGGGCAAATTTAGAACTAGCACAACTGATAAATGTCTGCTTCTACTAATATTTAGAATGTATAAAGATATAAGAATGAAAGTCAGATGCAGTGACCAAGGACATAAATGAAAGAAATATCAATGAGTACAGGAGTAAAACAGGATTGTGCAGTACCTCCAGCGCAGCTTAATGTATACATAAATTCACTTGTGGTTAGTTTAAACAGCCTAGATTTTCATCCTCCTACACTGGCCTAATGGTGTATGAAATTAGTTTTCTATGGTGATGATGTGGTAGCTTTGTTCTAATGATGAGGACCTCGTGATAAAGTATTCCAAATCTAAAATATTTGTATTTTCCAAACTTGCCAAGTTAGAGAACTGGCAAATATGAGGGCACACCATCAAACAAATCAGAATTGTTAAATACTCTGGAGGTTTTCCAAACTTCTGGAGCTTGAAATGCCCTTTCTACATATCCCAAAGGGCAGAAATTGGACTCGGCTATATAAGCTTTCTATTTTACTCAAGTTCAACAGTTCATTCCAACTGTTGTTAAATACTTTATAATTAAGGCTTGCACCAAATTATTGTAGCGGGTTCAATTGGGTTCATACAGCAAGACAGCAATAAAAGAGAAAGTCCAATCCAAATTTTTGAGACAGGTCTCTCACTGGAATACAATGCTCCAGAAAGAAGCAGAAGTTACTAGAATTTGGATAATAATTGTAACTGCTGGCTGAAATGATTACATGATCCAGTCGAATTTACCCCTTTAATTATAGTAGATATTTCTGACTCCATCTAGTAAAAAAAAACATTTCCAGGTAATTATATTTCTACAGCTTTTCTTGGGATACCTTTTTTACCTATGGAATTAGAACAAGCCAATTCAATTCTGAAACAAAGAATTTTAAACACCGAAGATCAAATGGATTATGCAGCTTGTCCCCATGATATATTTATTAACAACCTATTTACTACAAATCAGCCAGTGACCCAGACAAGATCCTTGTTTCAAAATTCAGAAGAGCATTATCCTGAACCCATTGCAAGGTACACTCTATGGAAGTCTTGAAAGGGAAATAGTTTTATACCATACGGAATGAAGATGGGGGTTATTTTGAGCATTTGTCACACTCTTTCCCCCAAATTGAGACATTTTTATTGTCTCGGTTACATGCTTGTTTCTTCTCCATCTTTATCTCTGTTTTCTGCTACATAATTGTCCTGCTGTGCTATTTTCTATGTCTATGAAACTTCCCTTCTGTTTTTAAAATATATAAGAATATTTAAAAATGCCATTCCCCAGCTTTCCTATAGAATGAAATTATACTGTTCAATTCTACTAACCCATTTTGCTGTAAGAAATATCAAACCAGGAATCTGGGGAAGCAAAAGATTATAAGAATGTCAGACTCAATGGGGCAAATTACTGTGTCCCAAATGTATGGCATTCAGAAAAACACAACGAGGTTGTTCAAAGTGATCTCAATACAGTGGCATTCACGAAGCTATGAAGGACTACCTCTGTGAATCTTCTGAGTGAGACACAGACAAGACTGACAGATAAACTTCTCCCAAACTTTGAAAAAGGAAAACCAGACAAAAAAGGAAACAATCTAGTTTTGGAAAACTCTAAACCAACCGCAATTAAAAATATAAATGCTGGATGAATAAAAGAATTAAGTTTGTTTGTGGCTATGTAAGCTGTTCCCTCTTTTTACTCTTCCCCCTGGCTCTGCTACTCCTTCTACAATAATCAAATGTTTGGAAACAACTGATGTTTATAGAAAAAATAATGAAGCAGTGGAAGACAGACTTGCTGGTTGGAAATGAAAAAGCATACCAACATTAGGAGAGGCATATTCCAGGGCAACTCTTTATCACCCTTATTATGTGCCATTGCTATGATCCCACTTTCAGTGATTTTGAAAAAAATAAAAACAGCAAAAAGTGCTAATAAAACCTCACATTTGCTTTATATGGATGACCTAAAGGCTTATGGAAAATCAAAAATTGAAATTCGGTCATTGACAAATATTTTAAGAATTTTTAGCACAGATTTTGGCCTAGAGAAACATGCTACAGTAGCAATCAATTGGGGTAAAATCACAAACATATATATTTGTCACCACATTTATTAAAACTATACTTTGCGGCTTGGGGCAGGAAGACTGAAAGAGCTTTGCTTTCTTTATTCCTAAAGCATGGCTGATTGAGCCAGTTTGGTATAGTGGTTAAGGCAGTGGTTTTCAACCTATGGGTCGGGACCCCATTTGGGGTCAAATGACCATTTCACGGGGGTCGCCAAACAACGCAGTCCGCCATTTTTTTCCCCTTTTCCTTAGCTGTGCTACTCCCTTTTATTCTATTGGCTTTTGAAAGCCAATAGAATAGACTCTCTTAAATAGAGTCTAATTCTATTGGCTTTCAAAAGCCAATAGGAATTGTCCAGGCTGTCTCTGCCCTGCTGAGCCTGCCAAAAGTCCCATTTTGCAAACGGTGCTGTACCAGTTGAGTAGTCCTCAACTTACGACCGGTTGAGTAGTCCTCGACTTACGACCGGTTGGGGGGGGTCACAGCATTAAAAAGGTTGAGAACCACTGGGTTAAGGCGATAGGCTAGAAATTGGGAGACTATGAGTTCTAGTCCCACCTTAGGCATGAAACCAGTTGGGTGACCTTGGGCCAGTCACTCTTTGTCAATCTAGGAAGGATGCAATGGCAAACCACTTCTGAAATTCTGCCAAGAAAACTGCAAGACTTCTTCAAGCAATCACCAAAAAAAAAAAAAAAAAAGCAGCATGATTGAAAGGGCAAATCCTTAATGAAAAGGCTATAAATTCTCCAAGAGGACAGTCTAGTTCATGGCAGGAGATGCAGTATGATTGGTGGCAGCCTATTTATTGGGAAACACTTGGAAGGAGGGGTTTGCCAATGAGATTTTTAATTATATCTTCTCCTTGTTTGAAACATAGGCTATTCTTTAGGAATGTTATCTGTCATAGCACATATTAAAATTTTGCTGCCCCAAGATGTTTTTAACTGCAGAAAGCAATGCAAATTCATTGAAAGGTGTGGTAGATTCTTTCTGTAAAATAATATTAAATAGGTATTACTGCCACAGGGAGGAGAAAACCTGTAGGCTTGAGGCTTTTTCTTTTTTTAATGTTCCCTGGGACTCTCTCTACTGTGATTGCAAAAATGTATAGCAATTCCCTTTTGGGAAGCAGATATAATTGTTCTGTGCATTCAGGCCCACCAAAAACTTAACTGCTGCCCTTGTCTCCAAAATGTTGTCCATTCAATTTAAAACCCACCTTTCTACTCAGTGACATAATTACAATAACCCTTACATTAACGGGGTTAATTATTTTTAAAAGAAACATATCTGTAAATCTTGTTTAGACAAGTATAGAATTGGATTTTGTTTCAAATTATAAAGACACCCTCAAGACAATCCAGTTTTGCTGACAACAATATGAAAATGCTTTGCTGTTATTTTCTGGACCCCCTCCCCCCATCCAAACTCAGTCTAGCTTACAACTCTGGAAAACTGAAGCAGTCCTTCATTCAAATACTAACATGGGCTGATCAACTGAAATCAGGCAAGGTTGGCCAGATGCTGGCACCTCTGGGGCACATATTTATAGTTAAGATATTTTTCTGGAACAATGAGTAACGAAAGCAATCAGGGTACATTGTTTGCACTGAACTAAAAGTGGCATGCTTACCCCTACCATCAGAAGGGGCGTTGTCTTACCTGAACGCCTTTTCTCAGCATGGAGAATCCACCAATGGGTTTTCTCTGTCTTCCTGCCCAATCAGATCAAGTCAGCCAAACCTGCCACGCCCGTCCTGGACTAGGATTTCCCAGTCTCAACATGGGCGAAGCTACTGACTGACAGTATGATGTGTTGGCTCACAGGACCTAACCCTAGGCCTAAAGGACCTGAGAGGGAGGGAGTGGATTCTCCATCTCCATGCTGAGAAAAGGCAATTAGGTAAGACAATGCCCCTTCTCCAGCACAGGAGATGGAGAATCCAACAATGGGACATACCAAAGCCTACTGTCCCTGAGGAAGGGAAGCAGACAGGTCGGGTGTGACGCCTCGAGGTACACCTGTTGGAGAATCCTCCTGCCAAAGGAGGCCTCTGCAGAGGCATACTTGTCCAGCTTGTAATGCCATATGAACGACGAGGGTGAAGACCACGTGGCCGCCCGACAAACTTCCTCAATGGACGCCTGGGTGGACCAAGCCACAGAGGTAACCGCACTGCGTGTCGA